TGATGGAGTGAAAACCTGTTTGCATCTCAGCTGAAGCACACTGCCAGGCAGCACAGCAACACTGCTGTTCATCATCAGCTCTCCTTACAAAGACCCACCCCTTACGCCAGATGGAAAGGAGGATGTTTACACAAATGACAGCAGATAAGGGTAACAAAAAATGTTGCACTGCTGCCATAAAGGATTTCATTTGATCCTAAATCTGCTCTTTAAACTGAGGTTCAAGATTAACTCAGTTGCATTTCCCAAGCAGCCATGCAGTCAGTGGAATGACTGAGGTGCTTGGATGTTCTACCCAACCAATGTTAGCATCAGAAGCATCTACATGGACTGTTGAATACCTGGGTCAAATGCTTGGCTGGGAAGCATGAGATGTACACAAAGAATTAAAAATAATTCAAGGGACAAACATATTTCTCTGGTTACCTATACAGTCATATAAGGCAGGATCTTACAAGGAGACTAAGTGTAAACACATCTGTGTCAACTGAGAAATTGTTCATCAAAGCGTGTCTGAAGGGAGACCCAAGGACTCTAGGAAAGTCGCTTGGACCAGGGAAGGAAGCTTCAAAAAGCTTCAGCTTAGAACCCTCCTACATCTAACACCAAAGGTAGAAACCAAGAAAACATTAAGTCTTCTCTCACCTTCCCCACCTGACTAGCTGTAGATCCAGCGTACATTCTACAGCAGCATCTAGACATGTCTGAAGAAACGAAGAAATTATCTAGACCTATCCAAATCTCTGGGGGTTTTCAGTTGAACAGGAGATAAAATTCTCCTTCGTTAGCCAGCTACATCAGTTTTTTCCTCTTGAACCCTCTGAACCAAAGGTAAGTACAATACGTCTGGAGGACTTGTCTTTACTGTAAGACAGGCTTACAATGTAGGAAAAGGTTTTTCTCTTTCGTTTTGCAGCACAAGACATCTGACTGGTTTATTAATATAGTTAATTAGGCTAGACATAAATAAAAGGTATAGATATCAGCCTCCTATATGCAGCTTTAATTGGTTTGCTGCGTGCCTGGTGGAGGTCATTGTCACTTATTACCTTTCCACTTCGCTTGACAAATGCACTCCAGCACACACTGAACGCCGCTACCACAGGCGGTGGGGAACTACAGTTAAGTCCAGAAGTCAGGAAGCTCCCTAGATCTTAATTATAAAACCATAAAAGAAACCAACTGCCTCTGAAGCTCTCTTACCAGGAAACAAATGAGAACGGGAAATTTATTTCCAACCATAAATCCCAAAGCCTTCAGTTTAATTTTTCCCAAGTTAACTTTCTCACCTAGCTAAGCAGCACAGCCTTCTATTATTAGCTTCTGGCCCAGTATCAGCTGACCACCATCAGTCAAACTGTCTTCATCTCAATGAGCTCAGGGACTGCCAAGGAACTCTGTGTATGCAGACTCGTGCTCGCAGCCTCTAATTATTTTCTAACAGATAATGGAGCATTTAAGTTCGGAGAGGATAGATTAAACTTATAAGTGGATCAAAACCCTGGACAGAATCACAGCTCGCAGGATTATTTCCTGGAAACACAGAGCTTAGAGGGCTAGAGAGGAAAGGCCCTCATCAATTGTCGGATTCCCTATGACAAACTAGTTTAAAGATACATATTTTTAGTCTCAAAGGTGGTTTGCTATGCCCTCCAACTGCAGCATGACTTTGGGATGTAATACATTATCACTCAAGCATCTGGTTTGATGTTAAACCATCTTATCAGGCCAATGGCTACTTGACTTATCAGACAATCATAACAGTCAAATCATTTGAGGCTGAGGAGGGGAAATTGTTTTCACAAGTGAAATTATAAGTCCCTGTATCAAGTAGCCTCTTAGGTGCTTATTTGCTTTTTTTTTTTCCTCACAACAAGCCTCTCTTCCCACCCTAAAATTCAGGACCCACATATATTCTGTTATCAGCCTTTGGGTGAGGAGCAGTGTATCCTTCCCTCCCAACACCTTTCGTCTGTGCTGGCAACTCCCCTCCCAGACACACTTGCAGGCAGACCAGTAGCAAGAACCCCCGTACTCTGAATTCAAATTCCAGCGCCCTTTTGGGACGGTGAAAGGTGACCAGTCAAGCAGGGAGGAGAAACTACACCCCACAACTTGAGCACCTAACCGTTTCAATGCCTGAGGGGAAATTCTTTAGACTGTGACATTATTCCAGAGATAATACGTATTCAGAAATAGGTGGAAAGAGGGTAAACCAGTAGCAACAACTTCTGCACAGTGAAAGCAAATCCACATAAGTAACGGATTCATGGATTTGACAGAGTTGGAAGGGACCTCTAGAGATCATCCAGTCCAAATCCCCTGCCAAAGCAGGGTTGCCCAGAGCACATCACTCAGGTGGGGCTTGAAGATCTCCAGAGAAGGGGACTCCACACCCTCCCTGGGCAGCCTCTTCCAGGGCTCTGCCACCCTCACCCCAAAGAAGTTCTTCCTCCTGTTTGAATGGAACTTCCCCTGTTCCAGCTTGTGCCTGTGTCCCCGTGTACATTCTGTTTCTGCCCTGGAGAAGGCGGTACAGGCTATTTAGTAGACTTCAGCTTGCATTGTTGTAACAGACACAGACTACTGCAGTGATAAAAACTATGTAAGAAAGTAAGGAGCAGAGTAAAAGAAAAACAGCTAGCTGGGAATGTGTGGAGAAAGCCCAGAAAACAGACTCTGCTGCAAAGCCCCTAAAGAAAAAATCCAAATATGGGATGTACTTTTTGATGATGGCCAATTCATCATCCCCTCAACAGCAGGGGGGTGGGAGGTGTTTGGCCATAGCAGGTGCTAACATCATGCATTATACCATTATAGTCATTACAGATCCATTAGGGAGTGTTCAAGGTGCTGAAATGACAGCCCAGTAGCTAAATTGTTGTTCTTTACTTTTTTAGCATAACATTTAGCAGAATTTCAGGAGCTCACAGAGCACTTTTAGACTTACATTCTGCCAACATTAGAAGTTTTAACCAGACTCTAAGGGCAATGCCACTAACATCTATACCAGCTATTTCTGTAGACACTGAAGAGTGCCAAGTACTCTCTCTGTACACAAACTGCTGTCTAGAAGGGGCTTTACGTTTTCCAGAGCCTCTGAAAGGAATGCTGTTTTACTTGCAAGTACAATTAGATACACAATCGAGTAAGAAGTAACTGCTGATAAAAGCACACCTGTACTTGATAAGTACAAAAAAAATGAAAGTCAAGGGTGTGATTCATATAATCACCTCCTTTCCACTAACCTCCTCTTCCCATTCACAGCCAACATCTCAGACACTTATTTAAGAAAGTTTTAACTCCCACTACATTTCTAATAGCACTTAGCCACCTAAATACCTTTAAAAAATCTGATATAAATGCTTTTAACCATCAACAACTATTCATAATACTCTTTTAACTGAAATCACAAGTGATGCATTTTGCTTTCATATGTACTCTTAAATTTTCCTCATAAAATAACACCAGTAAACAGTACGAATTTCATCAGTACAGTTATACTGACCAAAGCCTTGGAGTGAGAATTAGTAAAACATATTTTTCTACTACAACTTAGTCTTCAATGAAAGATATTTAAGTTATCCTCTCATAATAGCTCAAAGTTTTAAAAAGTTTAAAACTATGTCCTTTCTGAGACTGAGAGTAGTATTCACATTAAAACCATAATCAACGCCTAAGTCGTTCTCTTTAAAAATGTGGTTTGTTTCAGGAAATAATGATCAGGTTAGGAGGTGAGGATGGCAGGAACGTCCGTACAATTGCATGAGCAATTATTTCAAAAAAGTGAAAATAAATCCTCTTTGTCATCAGTGCACAACAGCAAAGGACATTACAGACCACTGTACATAAATCACATGCAGCATTGATACAAAACACTGTATTTCTCTTTATTGTCACTTATATCGACTAATGATGAAATGTAATTTTTTTTTTATTATGATCAAAAATAACCTTTAGGTTATTAATAACCCCTAGGACTAAAAGTAACTTTAACTTTTCTCTCACCTTGTTACTACTGGGCCAGAGACTCCTTTTCCTAGTATGGCTGTACCTTACATAGTTAAAATACCCAGAGTTTCTAAAAAACCTTAATAATTTCTGAGCCATTTATCAGATGCTACAATGCATATGCTGGAGGGAAATGTGGTCCAGTGAACTAAGTCAGCTGATGAAGCAGAGCTATGAAACCTCAGACAAGTAACTTTGTCTTTTAACAAGGACCTCATGTTTTCTTTGTGGAGTGCTTCAAGGTTAATCAATATCAGAGAAGGAGATATTACTATTATTTCTCTATCAGATGAGGGGTCAGTTCCTCAGCGGGCGCAAGCTGCTCAGTTCCACTGACTTTCATACAGTGACAACAATTCCCTCATCTTGAGGCTGCAATCTGTGTCACTGACCACCACATCAGACACGGAGTGCAGGTCACATTCAGCAGCCTTGCACTCCCTGCACGTTTACTTCAAAAGCTCTCCTCTTTCTGGTGCTCCCCTTTAACAATACCCTTGACCATTATTTTGTCCACTAGGCAAATACCTAGTATTCTTTATCTTTTTAGTGCAATTCATTCCTTTTGAATGGAGCCAAACCAGCTTTTTTTTTTTAATTTATTTGTCTACAATCATTATTGAATACATAATTTGCAGTGCTCTGAAAAACACAGGAGAACCCTTCATCACTAGGTTGTTTTGGTTTGTTTGTTTGTACGTTGCTGCAAGAGAGAATGCTATAGGTATGCATTAACACTGAGATGGCTTCTCAAATACTAAAGGAAGGACCAACACACAAAATCTCAGCAGCTGAATTTTTCTAGGGACGTGATACTGTAGCACTCACAGAACATCATCAGCACAGTATCAGTCCTGTGTACAAGCCTCCTTCAACTATCTAAATATGAGGAAAGAAAATTGCCAAAAACTCCTCTCTACAGTCCCTGTAGACCACAGGAAGACACAGACACAAGCACACACACCCCCCAAGACTCATCTTTTACTTACATCCATGAACTCCACATTGGCTTTCGGACCAGTGGTCTCATTAAGGATCTTAATGGCCACAGGGATCTTCACAGTTTCTCCCTCAGGGACCCAAATGCCCTAGAAAGATTTTAAAAAAGTGACATAAGACAAAAATCATAGAAACTTCATTCAGAATTTCAGTTCTTTTTAATGCATTTTGCTGCATTGCGCAGTTCAGTTATGAACTTCAGAACTGAGAATACACAATGTTATAAAATAATAAAAATTCCATGAAACTACTTAATTGATATCTGAGAATTAAAAGGTGAGATGGCTAAAAAGTAAACTTTAAATTTAAAATTCCCAAACTGTGTGTCTCTTGGACTAATTTTCCATTTTTCTTGACTATTGCTGTGTTCTTGGCAACCTCAGGGTACCAATCTCTATCACTTTATTACTAAGTATATCCAACCTGATTATTTAAAAATGTATTCCCACGACTTTGTAGCTGTAGTGACCTGGTCTTTACTTACTCCATTTCCTCCCCAGTTTGAAGAGAGATGCAATAATTGTCCTCCTCCACTGCTCTGACCTACCACCTCAATTTGGGAGGTTTGTGTTGCTCCCAAAGAGCTGGGTGACTGGTTTGACTTGCTCATTAAGCTCTACTTCATGCCTCTGAGATTCGGACATGACCAACAGATCTTAAAAAAAATCTTTAACTGAAGTATTTTCTTCCCTGTGAGTTCTGCTCTTACATCCTGGTTGTTGAAGGGTGCACTGACATAATTAATCTTTTTTTTCTATTTAAGTGGAAGAAACAAAACGTATTATGGTTAAGCTAATGACAATATGGTTTTACAAGGTATGATTACTATTACAAGACCCACATGACACTTGCAAAATGAGAGACACAGTTCATCCAGCTTTCCAAAAGTGTACTGTAAAGCTGATATGTAAGAACAGAATGAGAAACTTTGATACTGCATTTTAATATCGACAGCCCAGCTTGTGTAGTCCTCTTGCATGGAAAGATATTGTGGCTGACTCACCTTTTCTCACCAAGAAATAACATCTGCATGTCTGATTAAAACTGAAGTTAACACGTTTGAGCTTGAAGAATGACCACATTGGCAGAACAGGATGCTTTGCTCCAATACAGAATTTGACTGTTCAAAAGTTGAAAGAGGGAACTCACTGCTGTGCACTGTAGACTCTTACCTTGTATACAGTTCCAAAGGCTCCAGAGCCAAGAACCTTGACTCTTTTCAGCTCAGTTTCCTTCAGGATACGAAGCTGTGCTTGGTTGGGTGCTGTGCCACTTGGAGTCAAGGGTTCCACAAGCTACGAAGGAAAATCCAAGTCTTAAATATTTGAAAATGTGAAGACCCATCAGAAGTTTACACCAAAAACAACCAATCCAACTAAATACTGGAATAGGAAAGTGGTATGGTCTATTGACCATTGACCTGCCAATTTCTGGAGGGATTTTTCACCTTCAAAAGCAAATGAGCAATGCTTACAAACCAAGAGATCCAATAATTAAAATCCTCACTCAACATGTAGTAATTTCCACCAGGAATTGCATGATGGAATTATGAACTGGGAATTGAGTCGGTGTCACAATAACACACCCAAGGACTTTTGCTAATGGCGGCAGTATAAATATTTTCTACATGACAGAAATACAGCATTTATTATCAGTGCACCACATTCTATTTTTGCCCATTTTAGTGCCTTTTAAGCTGGCCGTATTTCTTTTTAATAGCGCTGAGTTAATGGCTCATCACAGTCTTACTCTGTTTTGAGGAAGGGACTATTTTTCTGAGCTTCTGTTATACCACAAAGGAGGACAGCTTTAAGGAAAAAACATCTTATATCAGACCACTAATTTATAACAGCCACAAATTTACCACAAAATGGCACAATTAAACAATTTGCTCAAGGTGTCCCAAGAAACTTTGTAAATGAGCCACAATGGCACATTCAGTTAAAAATGCTCTTAGATCTCCATGTTATACTGTCTCTGCCAGAAAAAAACAATGCTTCTTAAAAAATAAATTAAAAAGACATGAAAAGTACAGTGCTCTAAACAATGAAAATTAGTCTTGTTCCTTTGCAGGAACACCAACGCAAGTATGAGAGGGAGAAGTGTTGTGGGCATCTAAAAAACGCTTGTAGAATTTTACTGAGAATGATCTACAGAAAGAATAGGTCTGTTACAGCCTCCAGCTAGAAACAGAGACTTGAGCTGAAGCTATAGTCACTTGTGTGTTTATCTCAGGATGCTCCTGACTTAATCTTCAGTATCTAAGACAAGACAACAGCTTCTCCACACCTTCAGTGGGAGACTCTGGTCCCTCAGTAACTGCTGTCAGCCACAGCTTCTATATGACCTAATAGAGAATGACAGCTGGACTTCAAATCCAATAAAAACTACCTGCTTAAAACCATTTACGCTTAAGTAGGGGCTGATACAATGGCAAGATTTATGCATCGAAAGGCACTGAATACTGTTATGCCTTCTAGACAACTGAACAGCATTTAAGAAGCAAGAGAAATTCTAGCCAAGCATAAAGATGCTGAGGCAAACAGAACGGGGATGTATGTATCATTTGCTCCCAGGGTCTACAGTGGAGATGAGCTGGAGCAGGATGCTTGGGATAGAAACAGAAAGCAGCACATCAAAGAATCACTAGCTAACAATACTCCCAAGCTTTACTATCTTACAAGGAGGACTCTAACTTAAAAATATCATCACTTGCAAAGTGTCTCAAGCATAAGACTGAGGAGGTTATAGAAAACACCCTTGCTGTAGCTGACAGATAAAGATTTAATGTTATGTTTAAATATACTTCCTAGACTGCCCCCTCCACTACTGGCAATTCAAAGAGCAGGACAGAGTGGGCACGCTGCTGTCCCATAGCTCCACTTCACATCTTTGCCAACAGAACTGCGAATCTCATTTGGTTCACCTCGGGGAAGTATCCTCACTTAGTAAAATACATCATTATTACTGATGATGACTACAGACTTGGACAAAATCTGGACCACGAAGGCAATACAGGCACTGGGAACAACAGTTAGTGCCAATCTCTGCATTTAAGCCTTCCTGATGAGCTTAAGTTTGCATCAGAGCTTGCTGAAATTACTTCAGTCTTAAGAATTGACCTCAGTATGTCCCGGTGAAAATCTGTAATATTTAAGCATGAGAGCTGTTAAATGTAATGATGAACTGGGATAGAAGTACTGTTGAGAGCAAGATGGGAATTCAAAAATCTGGTGGAACATGACTTCGTGATCATGTGGATCCTCAAAAGCCATGAATCTCTATCTGTACAGAAAACTATCCTGAAATAGCTTCATTCATTCCATCAGTTCCGTCCTGCAGAAGTTTGCAAAATGGTAACTGAAGACCTCAACATCTTTAATATAAAAACAGAACAGCTCTGCATACTTTTTCAAATACTCTTGTGAGGAGCACACTCTCACCTCAGTTTCCAGGAACCTTCGCAACGCTCTCTTCTTCTTAATGCTTTTGCGCCGAACATACACAGCAAAAGTCAGGCCCACGATGACGATGATGAAGAGGCCACCAATAACTCCCGCAGCAATCAGAGGGGTTCTAGCAATCAGAATCAAAGACTTTATTTTTAGGTAGAGTGAGAGACCTAAGAATGGTTGGGTACATAAAACACAATCACTTGGAAAGCTTATTAACTGTCCTACGACCAGAATTTCTAAGTCAGTCCAAATGGGAAGTCAGGGGAAACATTTTAACATATATTATAACTTTTCTTGTTTTTAATCAATATACCAATTCTACTTTTTTCAAACTGCCATGCACATGTGAAGAGTCGTGTGGACAAGGAGATACAACATGCACTTTGATGGCAAACGCAAATCTGCAATGGCAAAATGAGGATATCTGTAGTTTTCCTGCAAGAGCTTTAACTATGCTTACTCTTTGGCTCCATTTAGATTAACTCACAAGCCTGTGCATTTAGGGAGTGAGAGGAAACTTCAAACATGGTGTTTCACAGACAAATCTGGAGGCTTCATGCTCATACACCTTCCTCAAGAGGAGGATATTTATATATGAACAATGTAATTCCTGATTAGGAGCATGCACCCTCTTGGAACTCCTGGTTCATTACTATTACACACAAACATTTTGGTCGGGGGCTATGGTTGCACCCATCTGGTTTTGCTGTGGCTTTTCAGCACAACCAAACCCCAGACCAAAAGACCGGTGTGTGGAGCCAAAAAACTCCTGTGAACAATGCCAAGAGAGACTCAGCTTTTGCACAAGACCTGTTGTCCCCCCACTACTCCTTATAACTCCTTTCAGCTTTCCAGGATCTTGAGTAGCATGAGCTACAATTACTAACTTGGTTTTCCATAGCAATAAGATACAGTAGGCTGGCATCATGGTAGGATCTTGAGTAGCATGAGCTACAATTACTAATTTGTTTTTCTATACTGATAAGATACAGTAGGCTGGCATCATAGTAGATACTGTACAAGCTAAAAAAAGAAAAAGACTGTCTCAGAGAGTCACTGTTCGTTCGCCTTTGGTGCCCACATAAAAAAGACTGTCTCAGAGAGTCACTGTTCTCAGAGAGTCACTGTTCGCCTTTGGTGCCTTTGGAGATCACCTACACAGTCAGCGAAGAGAAGCAGGCTCCCTCCAAAGAAAAAGTCAAAGCGATAGGTCCTCTGACTTAGTTTTCTCTCCCTGTCCTGTTTCTAGAAGATGGGTAGCAGCCTCCAAACCAAACCCTGAAATGAGGTATTTTCACAGAATACCAACAACTTACTAGCATAAACACACTCAGTATTTGACATCCCTCCAACACCGGCTGGACAGCAGCTGAAAAGATGGGTAAGAAGAGAGAGCATGACAACTGCAAAGGATAAACGGTGCCAAAACCACTGCCTGTAACTGCAGGAAACAGGTTAACTATTTTCAAGATTGCTATGCTTTAACAGCCTTCCTCCGTTATGCCTGAATGATGATGAAAGATACATTATGGCCTATTAATAAAAATGTACCACAAAGCTATTGAAAATTTAAAGGAAGGAGACTCCCACAGAAACAGTAAATTGATTTACCTGACCCTTTGTTCTTCTTTTAATGTCCTACCACAAAGCTGAGCGGTGGAAAGCAGCACCATCTAACCTGGTTTGGTATATTAAGGTGTGTCTACACCGAGTACCGTTTGGAAGCCCATCTCTAAACTGGCCTAACTGTCCCTCATCATTGCAGTTCGATTCAGAGAGGTCTCAAAGCACACAGCCTGGATTAATTTCAGATACCAACCAGAACATACATTTCTGAGTGCACCTAATATGCTCCAACCTCCAACTGGCATTAACGTCCACAGGATCAAACTAGAGCTAACCCAATGAAAAATCCCTTGCAGCAAACGTAGCCTAGACACTGAGACCATTACCTATTTCATCCTCCAGATGCAAACCTACTGTGTCACTCGATTCATATCAACAGAGACAAAGCCTCATACTCCCACATTTAGTTATTAAAGCACCACTATCATGTCTGCCCAGGGAAAACACATCAACATTACACAACACTCATAGGCCTATTACAGTTCAAAGACTTTACGATGGAAACCATAAAGTCTGCAAATAAAGGAAGCTGAATGTTGTCTGGCTGTGAAATGGATTACGATGCTAGGAAAACACAAGTCCAGTACCACTACTCCTCAGGCAGAGGCACTCCTCCTTCATGTAGTTTGGCCTTAAGACACATTCCTTATTCTAATTCCATTGGTTACTCTGTTGAGTGCAGAGCTTAGTTTAAAGGACCTGGCATATCCACCCAAAACAATGCTCCTCTTCATTTCCATGTGCTTTCCACGATGCTGATGCAAGAAACTCTTTAACAGGCAATTACGACAAACACTGGACACCAAAAGACTTCTATGGAGCTAGTACTAACTACTGTTCTTGAGCAGAGGAATTATTTTATGCTGTATGAACAGTCATATAATTTTTAACAAACACAACCAAACCACAGATTGACAAAACAGCCAGGAGATCTCTTGGCTTTAAAGTGCATATTAATAACTATCATAACAGCTGTCAAAATAAATAATAAGAGTTTTATGGTACTGTGTACACTAAAAATGGTCCAAAAATATTTCCATGTTAGACCATAATAAGGAAACGGTTCCAAAGGAGACATAATGACTAGTGAAGAAAATAAAATGAAGTTACAAATTCTTTGCAGCCCTTTTCTTCTTATAGAGTACAGGGGCTCAAAATGAATCTTTATAATAAATTGTGTCAACTCTCATTGCCTTAAAAAGAAAGTCCTCATCTTTTTTAGTAGTGAATTAAAAAAAGGGAAGTGATTTTCAAAAACTTCACCAAACAAGCATTTAGCTATTAATGTAAAATATGCTGTAATTGCATATTATATCTGAATTTGCAGGAAGTGCCATCTACATAAAGCATTAAGCAAGCTTAAAAAAGGAGTTTAAGAGGAATAGTATAACATGTGAAGAGAAAAAACATATTTAAATGCTAAACAAATAACTGTAATGCAGAAGAGCTTTTATTTTGAACTCAAATAGTGATCAGCTTCCTTTACTTGTAAATGCACTGTTCTTGCATAAAGATCATGATAGACACAAACATCACAGACCTAAACGGATGCGACTGTGTACTGTTCAGCTTCTCTTCACTCTGCTACTGAGCTAAGCCCCAAAGTCAACACTCCTGTGTTCTATCTGCTACAATACCAAGTGACAAGTCACTGCTTCCAGTGCTTTCTGGTATCATCAGTGCAAGCCACTGGTTTTTCCCACCACACACAGTCTATTTTCTAAGCCCAGTTTCTGTGCGTAACCTACCTCGTTTAGGTTATTTTTACTTATGTTCGTTAGGCCGAGTTTGCTTTTCTATCTATTTTGCTAACGTCTTCAAGTCTCCTGCATAATTTCTCTACTACTTTCATGTTTGCTGTGTCTTAAATTTAATACCCTGGTGAATTACAGTAACTTGCTATTTACCTTTCTTTTACATAATTGTTACAGATTCCTGCAAGGTCTTGCTGTCAGAGATGCTGCTAAAGACACGAAACCTTTATCCCATTTTGTTTTTTTAATCCAATCCTTTTTTTGCATGTGCACCTAACCAACAGTTCAGCTTCACATACACTTGGACACACAAATCTCCTTATCTCTAGTAGCATTAAGGGCTTAATCCACTTACATTTTTGCTATATTACCGTCCCACCAACACCTCTGTGAATGCAATTCACTACATTTGCCCAAGACTATTTCTCACTTAAAAATAATTCCATTAGAGTTAACAGGAGCAATGTTGATGCAAAGATAAAAAATTCACTATCAAAAATTCCCATTTTGTTGAAGTCATTTTTAAAAGCCTGGATGCCCCATTTCTCTGTTAGAGCTCAAAAAGGCAGAAGTGAATCAAAGAGAGGTAGTTCCATGTCAGTCCCATCCATCCAGCATAAATAACGGATAGCCAAGAGTTGATCCCAGCTCACATTTCCTTCAGCTCCACCACAAACCCAACAGGAAACTCCTGATACAGCCACTACTTTCCTCCACACACTGAAAATCTACCCCAGAGGATGAAAACAGTCTTTGCTATGCGTTTCTGGACTTTATGCTCATCAAAATAGACTTAGCAGTCCAAGAAATATGGCCCTGAATCATAATTCAACCCTAATTTGCTATCCCCCACTTGCCCCCTCAGCTGAGGGCAGAATATCCAATTAATGATTGGAGAAGGCTGCAGCAGAGGAGGCAGTAGGAGGGAAAAAAATCCCAACCTGTAAAAAAATCCTGCCTTTTAAACTGGAAACCATGTATCTGTGGCTAAAAGTTGAAAATAAGATTCTAGTATTCCCTTAGGAGGAATGAATAATATATATTTCTTTTAAAATGTGTACTGCGTTTCCATATTTAGAAGTCTGTAGCACCCACTCCCACACACCAAAATCGCCACAAGAAGTTCAAAGTTAATATTCCAAGATGGACAAGGATGTTCAACAGGGGGCCTCATATCATTCCATCCACTCCAAAACATCAAACATCTGCAATTTCCACAGTGCTCTGAGACCAGGTATCAAAGCTTAATTACTGATTTAGATGAGTACACAGTCTCATACCCTTGACTGGAAAGTGAGTGCAGCAGAAGGGGAAAAGGAAACAGAATTGTGGTCCATGGAGTAAAGCTGAGAAAGAACACCTGTTTTTCTCTTTGGCATTAGCCCACCTAATATGGTATGTAAATAAATTGAGCTTTGAAGCTAAGCTGTTAGAGAGCTTTAAGTGGCTGTCTCAATCGTGCCCACCTTCCTCTCCTTTGAGTTTTATATATATAGCCAAACAGGATGCATTCCAACCTTGAATATTTGCTAAGTAGGTGCTTCTTGTAAATTTTCATTATCAAGGCATTATTTTTTCCTGATGGAGGATTCATACATTCTGCAATCCTCAGCCCTTCCATCAGTGGGGAGTTCAGCTGACTTTGAAGCTGCATTTTCAGAGATCTAATGGATTCCACTAATCCTGGAATAATAATATTAGTATTTAAAATAAACAAGATAAACCACCTGACCGGGAAGCA